TTTCCAACTGTTGTAGTAGTTACAGGTTAGTCAATCTACGACAGTTCTGAGTCATTCTAGGCTTAAACACAGGCCACGCTCTGAAACAAAAGCTACAGCACAGAATAAAGCCTTCTATTTCTTTAATGCTGTGTCAAATGCAAGCAAGTGCTGTAACACAGAGAGCAGACCTCAAGTAGGCATTTGAGTATACTTTATCTTGTTTTCCTCCTTTCAGATAAAGACCCTATTTTTAGAAATGCTTTTACTTAGTCATAGAAGTTATCTGAGAGCTCGGGAAATCGATCCCAACTCTAACACTCAAGGTTCCTAATTTTGAGTTTGCCTTTGAAAGGTATGTGCTCTCCTCTCTTGGCCAGACCATTTTTATAACATAGCCCCATGAGAATTCATCACCTTGAAACACAAGCTGGGGAAGTCAGCCACTTCCAGTGCCTTTCACTGGGAATTTTTCCAGGAAAGCTTTCCAGGCTTCATAAAGACAAATGTGAAATCAAGGCTCATCAGGCCCCATTGGAAACAACCCTCATGCTCAACCACGTGCAAACCCACCAACCCCAAACAGGATTAACTCTTGTCCATGTATCGTTTTCGTAAGTTCTCATATTGGACAGTTCCTCCATTCCTCCTGGAGCTCACAGGGAGCTGTAGCATAAATACTTGGCTATGAATTGGCCTCTGTCTCAATAAGAAATCTTTTCCTTTGGTATCTGTAAACTACCTAATGTGACCCTGGTCTGTCACTGGACACCCTTGGCTCAGCCCTAACCCAAGTGATTAACATTAGTAGCCATAAAATACATTTCTCATACTGTGGTGGAAATGAAACATTTCACACCATCCCTGTCCTTGGAGACACCTGAGAGCACACAGTGCTTCTCAAGCACTCTGGCTTGTCAGGGTTAGTCAGTAATATTGGAAGGGCTCTCCCTGCTCCTGCCCTGTGTGCAGCATCCCCCAGATTAAGAGTTGTGTTCCCTCCTGCTTGCCCAAAGGCAGTTGCTGGCTCAGCCCTCGTGATCTGTCTACAGCAGGAAATGTAATCTCAGAGGGAGAATAGGAGCTCATGAACTCATTCACAAGCCAGACATGCTCCAGGAGCTGGTTTTCCAGTGACCTGGTTTGCCCTCTGTTGTTACACATATGTCCCAGTGGCACTATCTCACAGGCAAAAAAAAGATTCAGATATGACTAATTGAAGACAAAATGCTGCTTTCAGCTGCCAATTGGCAGCCTTCACCCTTGTGGTGGGGAGGTGATTTAAAGAGGTAGAAAGCAAATATTTGGATTCTGAAAACACTCTTACTTCACCTCTTTTGTGTGTTTATGTTTAAATAAACTACCAGCTGAATGGCTGATTAATTCCGGAGAAATGGATACATAGATTGTAAAAAGGTCATTTTGTGTTCAAGCCAACTTGCTAATGCAAAGCTGATACTCTCCTGATGGGCTAAAGTCATTTCCTATGATTATGAAAAAAGTCAAACACCTTCATGTGGAGTGACCTCTTGGTAGTGGTTCTTTTAGGGAGGAAAAAGAAAGATGAACTCTTGTGAATTCTGAAATATAATGGTATTATTTATATGACAATTTTCATCATGTCTAAGAATAAGCAGACAACGGAGAGAGAAAAAAATTTAAAAAAAATCCAAAATCTATCAAATAGGAGCAAACATGCCCTGAATCAGAAGTTTCCTGTCCATACTCACATGGGGGGAGCACCGATACAGTCCCTGCTTCATCCTGGACTTCTGAGCTGTGCACAGTAAGTCATGGGTGCTCTGAACTCTCCAAATGCCAGGCTGTGTTCAGAGATTGAGGCTGATTGCTTGGCCTTCAAACCAATTCCTTCACCCTTGCACCAGGCCAGAAGGAGTCCCACACATTCCCCAGGCTTTACAGACAGGGCTGAATTTCTGTGGTCTCAGGACCTTCTTCAAAACAAGTTGTCTTCCACCAGCCCCAGCTTTTAGGGTTTCTTAATGTAGTTCACAGGCTGATTTTCAGATATGCTTATTACAGAAAATGTTCACTGAGAAATGAACACTGAGATGGTTTGAATTCTGCATTATGTGAGGGGAAACTTCACTTATGCAAATGTGCCTCATTCTTGTATGTAAAGCAGAGTATGGAGCGTGGTAGAACAGCCCTTCCCATTTCAGTAGTCTCAGACATGATGACGAGAGACACACCTGAAGCACTGGAAATGGTGAAACTAAAGACCCCCCAGACATGATCTTTGGCACCCAGGAGGAAATCAGCTGCTCCTGCATTCCTACAGACTCCTGAGGCATCAGATGTGAGCAAAAATAGCTTTCACAGGAAAAGCAAAAGCCTCCCCAACTTATTTTTCTTAGCATTTCACAGACATACCTAACCTCTTAGCAGAGCTGACCCTCCATGCTTCAATCATTTTATGATTTTTAATGAGGTGATAATGTTTTTCTAATTTACAGACATTCAATTGCTTTCTTCTTGTAGTTCTTCCAGTGCTAACTTTAGTCTTGTTTTCTGATGATTTTCTTGTCCTTGTTTTTAGCTAGCAGAAAAAGAAAAAACTTGGGAAATCTCCTAAACTCAGACAAAATTTACTATTACAAGAGACTACAAGCTAAGGTTTTCAAAGTATTGACTTGTTAGCTCAGTTTCATGAAGGACAATTGATGTGGCAAGAGATAGTGGGACCAAGGAAAAAGAAAATTCCTCGGGTCACCTGGAACTCCTTGTCCCTGCTCCTGCCAAAAACTCTATGGAGTAAGTTCTTTTTAAGAAATACACAGCTCCTGACCTCAACTACTTAACAAGTACTTAACAAAAAAATGTCAGTTTTTGAGAACAAGTTATTCTGAAAACAGGCCTGCGTCCTGAATAGTGTGTCACATCTCATTGAATCTCATCAGTGTTGCTAATAGTGACTTCTTGTAACATACTAATTGGTAAATATGTAGTGCAGTTGATCTACATGAGAAAATTTCTATATTGAAGTTCTTTACTTTTTTTTCCTCCCAGTAAAAAACAACAAAAAAGTAAATTTTCCAAATTTTGAACAACCTTAGGAGGATTTCTGAACTGAAAAATAAGCAGTCTCCCAGCCTTAATCTTCCATAATATTGCCAAAAGAATAGGTGTCCAGAAACTAGACTGCCTATGTTGTTTCTACTTATTTTATGATGGACTCCTCTGATGTCTGATAAAGAATAAGATCTGAATTTGAAAGACCTGATGCTGTGAAAATGCTGAGCTAACCTTGTCTAGCAACCTTTGACACATAGAGAGGGCTGGTAATTGCCATTCCATTTCTAAATGTTGTAAATGACATAGCAAATTATTACTTGATAGGATCTACTTTTAGATATCACTGTAAAAGTTAGACAATTTCAGAGAATAAATCAATTTTCTTGCCCTGTATTTTTGGTTTACGCCCCATCCCCCCTACAAATGTCTAATTACCTTAGATAAAGGTGTGTGAACAGGAGCCTTCCCTTTATAATCCCAGCTTCTGTGCTCCTGTTTATACTGAAGTTAATAAGCTCAGCCTATTTACCATACTACTTAAAGTAATGCTTTAAATGCTCTATGCAACTTCATGGTTTTTTACCAGGAGTGAAAAAGGACATGGAATTAGAGAATGATCATCTTTGATGGGTCTGGGTTCAATAACAGAGACTTCTAACTTACCAGCCTACAAACAGAAGTGCCAGTAAACAGATTTGCAGAAATACTTGATTTGTTTTCCAAGAGCATTAATTTTCATTTTTATCCTGTTTATCCTTCTGTGTAATAATTCCTGAATTGGAGAGGAGGCTCATGCATTATCATTGAAAATGCCACAGAATTCAATTAAGGGCTGGCTGCAGCATCCCTTCTTGGGTTGTGAATGATTCCACTGAGACAACAGGATGACTTTTTCCATCACCAAGCGTGGTTGCTAATTTTAACAGAGTAGGCAGCCTTAAGCTTTGCAAGCCCTCATTAAACAATAAAGAAACATTAATAAAATGGCTCAAGGGGTAGTTTCATTCAGCCAGGAGTAAAGCTTTCTCTTGAACATTTTAGGGACCAAGGATATAAAACAATTCATAGCTCAGGTAATGTAATTCCACATCCCCCAGCCTCCAGCCTCTGGAAGCCCAAGTCACTCCTCCAGCCAGATCCACTGCCTGGCACTTGGTTGTGTGTGGGTCAAGTGTCACCATTCTACTGTCAGCACTTCAGCACTTCTTTACCTCGGAGCTGTACAGGCACCTGTCAGCTTGACAGAACAGCCTGTATATGGAGATGGGATGAAGTGTTGATTCTGGTCTTCTGACATCATCATTATTAGTATTATTATTTATATTTCAATTTAGTTTTCAAGGTGACCAAAAGTTTCCAAGACAAGCTTTAATGTTTAGAAAACCTGAGATATCTTTGAGCACACTGGAAGATGCCTCACTTTCCCCAATAAGTATTTAATCAGCTTTTTCAGACTTCTACCAGCATAGTACACAGTCATGTTTTTAATTCTTTACTTCATGACACGAGGGAGCGAGGCACGGATTGAATGTTCCATTTAAAAAAAGGCTTTGACACATTTTGTTGAAGCCAAGACAATTCTGTTGAAGTATTATCATGATTTACTTGAGGTAAATCAGCAAATAAATCATGTTGCCCCATAGGGCCACTCAGCTGAGCGTGTGTTTTATACACACAGAGCCCGACAGCAGCAGCAATTGGCACATTTCCTTCCAGTCACTGAGAGATTACACAGTAAGACAGAGATACTTAGAGAGCTCTTGCTGCTGGTGTCTGAGCCCCTAGGCTTTGTTCAGGCAGCTCCAATCTGAATGGATCACTTCCATACCAAAGGAAACAACAACAACAAAATCTCTGGAGTGCAGTGGAAGTGTTTTCCATTAATGGCAACATGAATGTTATTGCCGAGCTGTGTTATGCCCGATGATTGTATGCAGCAGAAGGTAATTTAGCTCACCAGAATTCTGCTTTGCTTCCCCCTCCAGGTTAAAAGCCTGATCAGATGCTGGCTCTACACGCAAAATCATTGAGGGACTGCAGCAACCCCTCTCAGAACACAGAGCTGCACCAGGAACAACCCCTCACCACTGGGGCAGTGACTGGTGGGGCTGTGGTCTCCCACTGCTCTCTCCAGACCTTACTTGGTGGGGGCAGGATTAATAAGCCCTTCTGCTTTGCTCTGAACTGCTGTCAATAGATCAATAAATCTAAATAATGAGGTGCATGCTGTTCCCTTCAGTTTGTGCTGCAGAGGACAAGCAAGGAACAGAATCAAAAGGAGAAGTAAGCACAGCTGGAGGCTGTTGTGCCCACCAAGGCACTGACTCCTGACGTGTGTGCAGGTATTTACCTCGTCCTGGTGTTGCACATCCTGCACTTGTGCCTGCCTGGTGTTGTAAGTGATGCTGTTTGATCACACCAATGTGTTCTTTGCACCAGTGACCCCACTACAGGGCTCAGCACTCACTCTGAGTGAAACAACCTCCTGAAAAGGGAGCTTGTATCCTGAGCTTGGAATAGCAGTTCCTCGAACTTTTCCCTGAATTTCCTCCTCTCCTGCTCCCCTAACGAAGGTGACAAGAGGCTTGGACCAGGACTGCTTTTCCCCATGATGGCCTCAGCGGGGAGCCCAGCCTACAAGGACCCTTGGCCAAAAGGAGCCTGATGGAAGATCCTGTGAAGGGGAATACTTCTCATGGCTGCCCCCAAAAAACCCCTACCTGCTCTGGTCTGAGACTGCCCATGTTAGATAGGGCTTGGTTCAAAAGCTACAAGATCTGCCTGATCACCGGCACTGGTAACAAACCTGAGAGCTGCCAGCAAAGGGTGAGGAGACAGACACTGAGGCTGATGCTATTTCTTGTGTTTTGGGCTGCACCTCAAACAAACTATTGCTTTGCTCATCTGCTGCAAACAGTTAACCCCCTAAAGGTGGGTTTCTGGAAGGAGAAACCTCAGAAAAAGGGCGAATGTCTACAGAAACATGCTGAGAGGTGAAATTCCTACTGTCTGTAGGAATGATTGGAGTTGTGTATGAGGAGTTTGATGCTTCATCTGAGCTTCTCTTTAACTGGCATGTGGTGAATATATTGGACATGTTCAAATACTCAGGTCTGAAAGTATTTTTAAGAGCAGGTGTAAATATTCATAAGAAGGGGATAGGTCAAGCCATTTGCCAGCTTTGTTACTTCAGTGTGTTAGAATTCAAGGGTCCTTCTTTCCCCAATTATTGAGCTAGAAATTCATGGCTACTTTCAGAAGAGATTCAAGTCCTTCATACTCCAGGTAGGAATAGATAAACAAAAGTGCTTTCACCTGTGAGCACTGCAGAGGGAGTTATTGCTCAGGTACCTATTAAAGCCTGGCTATTGCTGACAGTGCTTCCCAGCAGCCACAGTGCCTGAATTCCCCCCACAGGAATAGTGCCCTGTCTGAGGTCATGCTCCCTTAGGATGCAAACCCAGGACAGTATCACCTTGCTTCCATTATTAGTATTTTAAATGTTGAAGTGGAGTTGTTAATTGTAGCATATTTACCTGCTGAGCATTTAGATAAACCTTGATATGGCTTAAAGATGTTATATTTTTAAAGAAGAATTTTTTTAAAAAAAGCAATCCCAAACTCCTTGGTTTTCATTTCACAGAAAGCTTTAAGAACTCTTTTGATTAAATTATTAAAAAACAAACCAAAATTGCCTAAAGTCTCTGAGATGAATAATTTTTCTTGAATCTGATTTTTCAATTATGAAATTTTCAACAGAGTGACATTAAAACTGGATTACTCATTAACAAGAACCTGTCATCAGTTTTAGAGTGATATTCTATGGCATTACTAGTACTGTGCTAATAGCTTCACAAGCAGTTAGTTTCTCAAAAATAGATTTAACACATTTACAAACAGAAAATGTGTGTATTATTTTGTGGCTAAAATCTGTTTTATCATGACATCACTTCCAAAATACTGAAAGCATAAAATAGTTTATGGTCCACAAGATAAATCAGCACAAGCTGCCATGTTGGAATATAAGAAAGGATTTGAGAAAGTGCTAAAAGCATTATTACAGCTACAGAATGGACTCCTAAATCTTTAATGCCACTTGATCAATCCCCCCTGGAACCACACGGTATTGTATTGATAAATAAACACCCAGAGTTGCTGTGCACAGCGTTTCTGGGCTATAACACACTGCTTTTGGGTTTTAGCAGGGTTTGTGTTAAATGGCAAGCTACAAACATTCCCATGAACAGTTCTGGTTCCCAGCACCCTGCAGGTCACCTGTGCTGATGATCAGCAAAGCCCCCCATGTGCAGCACTGCCCCACCGGGCTCTCCATCCTCCGCCAGGCTCCGCAGCTCAGGCCAGCCTGGCAGGGGCAGCCCAGCAACCTCGGCCTCTCTGAGGGAAGAGGCTGCTTTCCTGACCTCGAATCTGCCCATGGCAATGGGATTAAGGTGAGAATTCCTCCCCTTGAAAAAAAACCGTGCTTGTTTTTTTCAGACAGGAAGAAGCAGTACAGAATAACCCTCCACTTTTATCTGCTCAACCATTACAGACAAAGCCTCCAGACACTGGCCTGTCTTTCCATGAATAAAGGCATTCAGCTCCCTGGCTTATTGCTCAGAACTGTCAGCCAAACCTGGCAGATAATTTTGGGTTGTCCATTTGCAGTAGAATCATTAAACCTTAGGCTAGACCAGAGTTTTACAGCTGATGTTTTAAATGGAGAGCTCCCCAACAGATCAGTTGTGGCAGAGATCTCCTGTCCTGCATTGGCTACAGCTCAGTGATTTACAAAACACAAAATTATATACATCCTGCAGACTGGAGCCCCTAAAGTGCCCCTGTTGTCCCAGCTCTGCACTTATGTCACATTCACCTTCCTCCCTGCTCAAGAAGATTGGAAAGATCTGGCAGAGAAAACACAGCTTGAACAAAGTATTCCAATGGCTTGGTTGAAGCTCATACTGTGTGCTCCCAAGTAAAATATAATCTGTGATTGTTAAACTCTAAGCACTGCTACTGATGAAAAAAAAAAAAAAAGGAAGGAATGCAAATGACTGTACTCTGGAGAGCAGTGTGAAATGAAACCACACAAAGGTAATTTCAGAAATAAGGACTCTTGAAAGGAATTATTGGAGAATCTTTAGAGTCCAAGACACATAAAAAGCATCTAGACTATAAATATTGAAAAAAATTTTTGGTAGGAGAACAAAACATTTCAAGTGCTACACAAGAAAGAATGGAAATCTGTGCAGTATAATTATGCATTTTATAGTTCTGAATTAGTGACAGAAAGGTAAAAAGGGAAAATTAGTGGAGTTGTCTTTTAAGGGCACTGATGACATGTGCTCTTTTAGTGTTCTTTCATGAGTCAGGATACAACCTTGAAATCAAGTAAGGCAAACCCATCTGTGGCTCACCATTGTGCAGGAAGTGTTTCAGTCTAGGGGATAGAACAACTGAGCCCATAATTTTTTTCCAGAAGGAAAAACCCATGGCTGTGTACTATATATCACTTAGTGATGGTGGTACCTAAGAGAACAGGAGCTGAACAAAGGGAAAGGTCAGCAATTTTGAGAAAAATGTCTGTATAAGCTCAGAATGAACTCAGCCTTCCTTCCATGGAGTGGCAATGATCTCAGCACAGCGGCAGCAAATAATTTCTCCCAGAACGGTTAAAGTTTCTTAGCCTGTATCAGAAATACCATTTTAAAATATCCAGCCTCCACCCCCGAAATGTCTCCAGGCTGTTCTGTCGGCCAGAGTATGAGGACAGCTTGGAGAGAGAGATGAAAGAACCATCAATGGCTTAGTGCATGAGGATCAGCTGAGACTGGGGCCCTGCAGTGTGAGGATCCAGATGAATGTGTAGTAACTACTGCTCTTCTCCGAGCCTCCTGCTGTTTACATAGAAAGAATCATTATCTGGGTCTTGCAGAAGAATCAAAAGCTTTGCTATAAAGTCTCAGATCAACTTGTTGCATAGCCAGAAACTCAATATGAAGGCCTGAAAGTTGAACTTCAATTGCCTAAAACCCAGAGACATCCAAAACAGGCCCGTGGATGTAGCAGAGGACTTGTGACAGAGCTATGCTGGTCTGAAGTGGCAGCTGGAGGACTGTCCAGAGTGACGTTTGTGAGCTGAGTCCCAGCCTTGCACTGGGGCCTTTTATTTTGCCCTCCAGAGATGGACACCAATGGGGAAATACTTTCAGAGCTGACTTCATGCACTGACATGCATCTCTGCTCCTGTAGATCATAAGGAAACGAAATAGAAATAAAACTTTTTGCCCCACTGCCAAAAGGAAAACCATGCTGTTTCCTGCGTGTGTCGTGGTTTGAGCTCAGCTGGCAGTTGAGCCCCATGCAGTTGTTCTCTTCCCCCACCTCATCCTGTGAGAGAGATACAAAAGGCAGCTATTGAGATAACAATTTACTGGAAACAGCAACGAGATAAGAAAACAAACAGTAACAGCACCATAATTTAAAGAGCTACGGTGTTGCTGAAGCTGAGGTCACTTTTGTTGATGTCTGTTGAGAGTCATTGTTATGTAACTCATACCCCAGCACAGAGAAATGTCAGAGAGCAGCAGCAAAAACACAACTTGGAAAGATTTGTCACCACAGATGGTCTAAATTACACCACACAGCACAGACTGTGTTTTCTCCTTGCAGCATTTTGCAGGTTGTATATGCAAGAAATCCTGTGTTCCCTGCTATAGAACTAGAAAGTGGATCCTGAAATAATTTCTTGGTGTAAAGTCAACAAATATAAAACTAGTTGTATTGGGTTAGTGTGGCCAGGCTTTGGGAGCAAGGGGGGCTACAGCAGTGGCTTCTGAGAGGAGCTGCCAGAAACTTCCCCCACATCCAGCAGAGCCAATTCCAGCTGGCTCCAGGATGGACCCACTGCTAGCCCAGGCTGAGCCCAGCAGGAATGACAGTAACACCTCTACAATAACATATTTAAGAAGATGAAAAAAAGGTTGTTGTACAGATGAAAATTGCAACCAGAGAAGAGTGGAGTGAGAACATGTGAACAGCTCTGCAGACTCCAAGGTCAGTGGAGAAGGAGGGGCAGGAGGTGCTCCAGGTGCTGAAATTCCCCTGCAGCCCCTGGTGCAGCCCCTGGTGAGGCAGCTGTGCCCCTGCAGCCCAGGGAGGGCCAGGGGGGTGCAGAGACCACACTGCACCCCAGGGAGGAGCCCACATGGAGCAGGTGGATGCCTGAAGGAGACAGG